GTCGCCATGATCGTTTGGTGATAAGAACGACTCAATTTGATGATCGAACCACCACTTCCCTAATTAGGGAAGTTGCTGGAATATGTATTCTGTGCTTCAGAAAATACCTCTTTTCTTCACCTTGAAATACAGAATTTTGGTTCATTTATCATTTATGATGTTTACTTTGGATCGAAGCCCTCGACGTCACGATCACAACGGACCCATTTTCAAGTTGATCTGAGGTTGGGGCTTCGTGATATGACCATTCGATTGAAGGGATCTCTTCTTTACAAAAATCTGCAACACATGAGTTTTCTTAAAAGACTTCTCTCTAAGATTTCTTCCATCTCGGGTCGTGCATAGCGATGTCCCCAGTAGAATCGTCAAGCCGGTTGGGCCTCAATATCGTCAGGTTGTACGACTGCGTGGGGACCCAGATGTGTGGGTCTAGCTTGAGATAGCTCTCTCGGGGACCGCAATGCGTGAGGTGCACGAGCGAACAGGTACCAACTAATGAGAGAGGATTATAGGGTGTAAGGTGGGACCTACCTCACGATGGGTTCGTGATGCACTTCCTAGAAGATGAGGATATTATGATGGTGGGGGAGATAGAACAACAGTCAAAGAAGTAGAGAGTCGGGAAGAAAAAAAAGGGGGGGGAAGCTTATAAGAGACGAAAGAAAGATAGTTTAAGAAGAGGTAGAGGAAAAGAAGAAAATGAGAGAAAGAAGAGAGAAGGAGCGAAGAAAGAAGGAGGAGGAGAGAAAAATTGAGGGAGAGAGAGAGAGCGTGGGAGACCGAGAGAGAGAAAAGATAAGAGAGAGAGAGAGTGAGCGAAGAAGAGAGAGCGTGAGCGAGAGAGGGAGAGGAAAAGAGAAAGAGAGAGAGTGAGTGAAGGAAAGAGAGAGAACGAGAGAGAAAGAAAAAGAGAGAGAGAGCATGGGGGACCGAGAGGGAGATAGAAGAAAAGAGAGAGAGTGTGAAGACAAAAAGAGAGAGGGGGAGAGAGAAAAAGCGTGAGTAAAAGAGAGCGAGGAAAAGAGAAAGAGAGAGAGTGCATGAAGGAAAGAGAAAGAGAGAGCGAGAGAGAAAGAAAGAGAGAGAGCCTGGGGGACCGAGAGGGAGAAAGAAGATAGAGTAGAAGAAGAAAAGAGAGAGAGGGAGAGATAGAGAGAGCGTGAGCGAGAGAGAGCGTGAGCGAGAGAGAGCATGAGCGAGAGAGAGCGAGGAAAAGAGAACGAGAGAGAAACATAGAGTGAGTGAAGGAAAGAGAGAGAGAGCGAGTGAGAGAAAGAGATCGAGAGAAGAAGAGAAACATGAGAGAGAGTGAGAAAGAGAGAGTGAGTGAGAGAGTGCAAGTGAGAGAGAGAGACCAAGAGAGATCGAGAGGAGAGAGAAATGCAAGAGAGAGAGAGCGAGTGGGAGAAAGAGAGCAAGAGAGAGACCGAGAGAGAGCGAGTGGGAGAAAGAGAGCAAGAGAGAGACCGAGAGGAGGAAAGAGAAATGTGAGAGAGAGCAAGTGAGAGAGAGAGCAAGAAAGAGATCGAGAGAAGGAGAGAGAAAGACAGAGTAAGAGAGATACCGAGAGAAGGAGAGAGAAAGACAGAGCAAGAGAGATACCGAGAGAAAGAGAGAGAAATGCGAGAGAGAGAGAGAGAGACCAAGAGAGATAGAGCAAAGAAGAAGAGAGAAAGTAAGGTGGGTTGGTGGTTCATTGCATGTGGGAGAAAAAGAGAGGGAAGAAGAAGGGAAAAAGAGAGGTGGGTCGGCGGCTCGACTGTGTGGGGGAGAGAAAGAGAGAGTGAGAAAAAAAGAAGAGAGAAAGAGGGGTGGGACAGTGACTTAGCCGCTAGCCCGATTGCATTTGGGGGAGAGAGAGAGAGAGAGAGAGAGAGAGAGAGAAGAAGAAGAAGAAGATAAGAGGCGTCGGCCCAATTGCATGAGGGAGAGAAAGAGAGGGGTACTAGTGGAGAAGGGAGAGAGAGAGAGAGAGAGAGAGAGAGAGAGAGAAGAAGAAAGAGAGAGAAGAAAGAAAGAGAGAGAAGAGAGAGAGAGAGAGAGAGAGAAGAAAGAAA